CGCAGCACTTTGTTGAAAGCTATCATTTCGAAATGGGCACTGCAAATGTAAACGTAGTGGAGAGGTGGGGTTTGCCACTTATGCACATGGTAGGAGCTGGAGAGAAGGCATTCCTTTTCAAATCATGTGGAACACTGAACTCGTTTCATTTCCTCTGCCAAAACATTTCAGATCTTTAGGTATTTACCTCAAAAAGGTCTTTTAACAATCTCGTTCTATGGAGTCTTATGGCTTCTTCTTCAGTGAAATCTTTCTTTAACCCCATTGGGCGGTGCCTGCATTAAGATGTTTTGGTTCACTTGAAACTTTTGTGCAAAATTCTAGAATCGATTCCTCTTTCAAATCTGTTGTTCTACGCAAGTGCCTAAAAAGGTTATTTCTGTGCTCAAGCTCACAAGTGCATGATTGAACAATATCACAAAGACATTCTAATTTTGTAATCGCTCAGCAATTCGGTAGGTTGCGATTGGTAATTGTTAGATGTTGATGGACATCAAATATTTCTGAGAAGGACATTAGGATGATTTGCGGTGTTGACCCTTTTTTGCGATGTTGGAGTCTATCTTTTTGTCAAGGAAAGTGGTTCGAGGACATATTCGAACATCATATATCCACTTTGGAACCGCAGCAATTTCCATCATGTTGTAGTAGTTGGATCTTCAAAGTTGAATTACACCCCAAGTTCTAAGACCTGTTATAAAAACATTGCACTTTTTCTTTTTTTGTCACATTCCTTCGACTAGCGGATTCGAAGAGGAATCCATATTCTCGAATCGAGCCAAACAGTGCTGTACTTGTAGTTATGGGAAAGCGCAAATATAGATTTGATCTGTTGAGTCTATCTTTTAGTCGAGGGCAGAGGGTCAAGGCTTCATGTCAAGGGTTAGGATACTTTATTTTCCTAATTTTTTTTTATTATTAAAGAAAAATGAAATCAAATTTACTAAAATAATTAAGAATTAATAAAAAAAGCCAATTTTTTTTTTAGATAAGGATTGCAGGTGGACAATAAATCTTTTTATACGTGGACATTGCCCTCAAATATAGCGGGTGGGGGAAGGGTAAGATAGTGAAGAGCACGTGGACATCCCACTTCGTTTTTAAACACCTGATTAGTTTTCAAAGAATCCACAGAAAGCTCAGATTTGATCGTAGATCTGATTAGTTTCCCGTGTTACGTTTTGCCGCAATAAATTGGTAACAAAAAACACCTCGGGGAGTCATGAGGAATATCTGGTCGCAATTTCCCCGTGTCAGTGATTAACTCCTTTGTTTGGGAAACATATTTGCACTTTGCCAGATATTTAAGCAGTATTTTTGCTCGATTCGAGAATATGGATTCTTCTTCAAATCCAAGAGTTGAAGAAATGTGACAGAAAAAGAAAGAGTCCAATGTTTTATATATATTAACTGGTTTCACAACTTGGGGTGTAATCCAACTGTCAAGATCTAACCACTACAACGCGACAGANTCGCTGTACAATAGTTACATTGTGTGACAACTGCATGCTGTAAAACTACTATTCCTGAGTACCTGTAAATTGTAATATATAAAAGAATAACCACGAATTTATCTGTTAAAAAGAGCGAAGGGCTACCTTGACCTCCACTGCAGAAAATTGTTATTTAATGCGCTTATTAAGCCCGTCTTTGAATATTGCTGTTCGGTTTGGGGTAACGCCCCTAATGACCAATTGTTAAGAATACTTAAAGTGCAGAAACATTGTAGTAGGTTAATATTAGATGCTAGTTTTCACAATAACTCTGTTCAAATGTTCCAGAAACTACAATGGATGCCAATTGATGATGAGATTGGCATGAAGAAATTGTACATGATGTTCAAAATTGTGAACTGAGAGTGTTCACATTATTTTACAAGCTATAGAACTTATGTAAAAAACACCCATTCTTATAATACACCAGCTTCTTTCCATGATCTAGCCGTGCCAAAATGTTGCTCCAACGCAGGCCTTCGAACATTTCATGCCAGTGCCACTTACTTAAGGAACCATCTGGAGGACAAATTTAAAACTTTTACAGATGAAAGCAACTTAAAGAAACTTTTAGTGAACAAGTTTTTACAAAGAAATTCAGATCGTGAACATTCTACTATCTCTAGAACGTTTTGAATATATTTATGTGCATGCTGTTCTTGATAATCTAGTTTTTAAAATTCTTTTTAATACAGCCCACGATGTAAACTACTGGGTTACCAGTAATTGTGTTAGCTATTAAAGTTTATTATTATAATTATTAAAGGGGGAATTACAGATATGAAAGGGACGAGAGTACTTATCATTGGAAACCTTAAATGACAACTCTACACACTGGTGATGAGGATGGTGAACAACCTCTAAGTGCAGACAACGTAGAAGACATCCCAGTGCAGCCAGAATAAGAACCTTCAGCACATCCCGCTGATGAGTCAGAGCCAGAACCGGCAGAACTGAACGAATCCTCAGACCAGATGGAACGTTCTCTACCAGCGCCAACACCCTTCAATGCTGACGCTTGAGACCCCTACACGGAGTGGAAGCATTGGATAAATGCTATCGAAATCTACACGATTGCCTCAGGCCTTGCGACCAAACCAGATAACGTTCAACGGGCCACACTGTTGCACTGCCTTGGACCAGCGGTTCAACATATCTTCAACACGCTGCCAGGAGAGTACGAAAAGTATGATGATGTCAAAGCCACCCTTCATGGGTACTTCGCTCCAAAGAGGAACGTTGTCACAGAGCGCTACAAGTTCAGATCACGAGCACAGAGGTCGGACAAGCCGATCGACACATATCTGACTTCCCTAAGAGAACTCACAAAATCCTGCGACTTTGGTGCATTGGAGGAAGAGATGATTCGAAACCAGATAGTTGAAAAGTGCCACTCCAGAACACTGAAGCAGAAACTGTTGCAGCAAGAGAGCCTTGATCTGTCCAAAACCATGAAGATTGTGCGGAGTGAAGAGACCACCTCGCAAGAAGCTCTTCTTCTGTCTAATGGAAGCAAAGAAAATCCAATC